TACACGTGCTCTTCCGATCTCCCCAAAACCCCAAAACCCCGCACTTATGAAATCAGATGATTTAATCATTTATAATAAATTGTAAATTAAATGGGATTTAACTTATCAAAATCTTAGCATATCTATGGAGTCTTTCGAGATGATATAGCTTAAGTGCCAGGATATTCCAGAGAACTTATGTAAGTTTTTAAACTATGATTTTAAAATTTAGTTGTATTGCTAATAAAGATAATCCAGGTCAAGTTAAAGGTCCTGAATACAAAGGAATGAAGACAATTTATGATCTCACCTAGTATGCTTTGAGAAAATATCCAAACAACAAATTTCTTGGAACTCGTAATAGTTAAATTGATGGAAAACCTTATGAGTGGCTAACTTACAGAGAAGTATTAGAAGAAAAGGATACATTAGCTCGAGGTAAAAACAATATAAAGTACATCATATTGAAAATATAGGTATTAAAGCTCTTAATTTATGCCAGACAATCTCATATGAGGGATAGGATTGGTAGTTCATGGGTATTAATTCAAAAAACAGAAAAGAATGGACGATAACAGCACTAGCCTGCATGAGATCATCAATTACTATAGTACCATTCTTTGAAAACCTAAATCTTGATGGATTAGCTTACATTATAAACTAAACAGGACTCCAAACAATGAGTCTAGAAAAGAATACATTTGACAAAGTGATGACGCTTGTTCTAGAAAAAAAGATTCACTCACTAAAGAATATCTTAACATTCGAATAGATTAGTGAAGAGCAGCTTGAATAAGCTAAAACTCTAGGTATCAATGTGTTTAGTTACCTGGATGTCTTAAATGCAGGATTGAGGAATCCAAGAATATAATTGCAAGAGCCCAAGCAAGACACAATCTATATGTTTTGTTATACTTCAGGTACAACTGGTGAGCCAAAAGCTGCTATGCTTCCTCATTCTGCTTTTGTTTCTAATTAGCATCTTCACGATTATGGTGCTGATTCGAAGCAACTTTAAGAGGATGATGTTCATATTTCTTATCTTCCTTATGCCCATACATATGAACAACTTATATTGATAAGATCATTTGTTTGTGGGATGAGTATTGGATTCTACAGTGGAGATCTAAATCTATTATTCCAGGACTTAAAAGTACTTAAGCCAACAATGATGGCTGTTGTACCCAGAATACTTACTAAAATATATCAGATGACTTATCATCAAGTAAATAGCAAAGGAGGCTTAGCAAAATCACTCTTTGATAGAGCTGTAGAAGTAAAAGTTGAAAATTTAATTTAACGTGGTATTATAACTCATAAATTGTGGGATAAACTTATCTTTTCCAAAATCAAAGAAATATTTGGTGGAAATTTAAGATAAATTTTCACAGGTGCAGCTGCTATTGATCCAAAGGTTTACAATTTCTTTAGAGTTGCGCTTAGCATGAATATATAAGAAGGATATGGATAAACAGAAGGGTGTGGAGGAGGAACTATAACAAAAACTTATGATTTAACTGGAGGACACGTTGGTGGAGTTGTGCCAATGTGTAGATTGAGATTACGTGATATAACAGAAATGGGATATTTAAGCAGAGATAATCCGCCAAGAGGAGAAATTTAAATCACCGGAACTTGTTTATTTAAGGGTTATTACAAAAATCCTGAGAAGACAAAGGAAGTTTTGACAGAGGATGGATGGCTTAACACAGGTGATGTGGGTCTGATTATGCCTAATGGCTCTGTCAAGATTATTGATAGAGCAAGCTACATTTTCAAATTGTCTTAAGGAGAATATATTGCGCCAGAGAAGTTACAAAATATCTACCTTTAACAGCCTATTATTCATCAAATCTTTGTTTATGGAGATTCATTGAGAGATTACCTAGTAGCAATTATAGTCCCAGATATGCCTTTAGTAAAATTGTGGGCTGCTACTGCTGGAATTGAAATAACCAGTGATGATATTTTGATTTAAAACCCATTACTAAAAGAGCATTTAGTTAAGCTTTTGAATGAAAAAGCAAACGAATTTAGTCTCAATGGACTTGAGAGAATCAAGAAAGTTCATTTAACTTCAAATGCCTTTTCACCTGAAAATGATTTAGTAACCCCTACAATGAAAATTAAAAGATTTAATGTTAAATAACATTTTCAGAAGGAAATTGAGGAGCTATATCAGAGTTGATTTCGATATGATTTAAAATTGATTACTTTTAATAAATTAGTTTTAATCTATTTACTTAATTGAACTCTAGAATATTAAAGTTGAATGTTAAGAAAATATGATTATTAGTCTTATTGAGTTAAATGAATTGAAACAGATCATTTCTTGGAAACATGCTTTCTTCTTCCTCAGAGTTTTTCCCTTTTAATTTTCCAAGTAAGTAAAGTATTAACATCATTAAGAATTAGGTGCTTGAAATTCTCTATCTTTGTATTGGCTTGTGCAATACCTAAGTTCACTCTCGCTGCATCAATAAGTTTCTGATTCTTGATTTCCTCTTTTCTTAGCAATTCAAAGTGTCTTTATAAATAATCTACTGATTTTTTTATCAATCCCTCTTAGTAGTGAAGAAGTCCTAATTTGAGTGCAGCATCAGCTTGCGCTGCCTTCTTATTTTCTTCAATAGCAATATTCAAAAGACTTTCAAGATGCTTGATAGCTGCACTGATATTTCCATTCTTAGAGTGAGTTTCGGCAAGTTTTTTATGAGCTTCACCAGCTTTTTCTTTGTTATCATTTTAAAGGCAGAGTTCAAGGAACCTGTTGAGAAAGACGATAGACTTATCTAGATCACCTAATTTTTCATGAATAAGACCTATTCTTTGGTAGCATTCAGCTTCTTTATCCTTATCATTTGCTCTCTTTGAGGCATCGAGGCATTTTTCAAAGTATTCCAAAGACTTATCGAATTCTTCTCTATCCTGGAAGTCGATAGCGATAATTTAATAGACTCTGACGAGCTATTTGCTGATGTCTTTCTCAATTTTGGTTAAAGCACCATCAATACTCTTTTCAAGAGCAGTTTCGAGATAATTCATTGCTTCGAAAATGTTAAGAACTTTTTCCTCGCATATACCTAATCCCATATAAGCTTTGGCCTCACCTTCGATATATTTGTTATCTACTGACACATCCAAGCATCTTTTGTGAAAATATGAGGCTGTTTCATAGTCATTTAACTCTTCGAATTAGCCAGCTACCTTGAGGTATTAATTAAAACAATTCTTAATGTTAGTATCTCTCAAGAAGTTCTCTCCTTAAACTAAATTGTCACTTAAAGTCAGAAGTGAATCCTAATTTTTTTAAAAAGGAATTTTTCCCCCTCTCTTATTCATTCTTTGTTCTTCTTTGAGTTTGATGTTTGGTTCAATTTCACTAGGAGTTGAGTTTGTTGTCACATAGAAGAAATCTATGTATGATTGCAAATATCCTTAATCTATTTGAGATTTTAATATTTTTGAATTCACTTACGGAGTAATCTGATTCCCTAAGATTCCTCAGTAACCTTTTCCTCAAGTTTAAAGTCGTCCTTATCCCCGAACTATTCAAATAACTTATTTAAGATTGATTTACATTCTAACCAGAGCCACTCATAGCGGCAGTTATCTACATATATTTCTTGCCCACTGATTTTTTCTAAAATTTGAGATTAATATCATCATAAGAAGGTTAATGAGTTCTTACTCCGTATTTATCGAGAGTATTCTTTTTAGTTTTTTCAATTAGCTCATCTTTTTCTTCAACTTTAGTTTTCTTTTGTACTTGGTTGACCTTAGAGTGTGGGTTCTTAATTGGTTCTAGCTTCATATTTTATTTAATTTAATTGCATTAAACACCGAATCACTATCTAATCAAGCATAATGGGGTTTTGGGGTTTTGGGGTTTTGGGG